ATGAGGTGGCTTGGTGAGGACTCCCAGCGGGCGCTGTGGGGCCGGGCCCGGGGCCTGGTGTCTGACCTGAGCCCCACATGGGAGGGTGACAGCCGAACGTCACTGAAATGTGGAGGGATCTTAGTGTTATGCGCCCCGGATTCCACCTGCTACTCCCCGGCCTTGTAAACCCACAGTAGTCGCTACCCAGGGCAGTTTCATTTCGGCCGTGGGCGATGCCCTGGTGTTCCTGCAGCGCTCACGTGTCTTCTCCTGCAGGTGACCTCGGTGAGTTCAGCGAGGCCAGCGAAGGCTCTGTGGGACCCGCGCTCCTGAAGACATCCGGTGCGTGTTGACAGGATGGCTGTCTCGTGTGGCAGGTGGGCGTGGCCCAACCCTTCCGTCCGTCTCTCCCGGACTGGGTGCTTCGGCAGCAGGGTGGCAGGGACGCTCAGGGCCGTCGTTGGAAGCTGGCTGTCCCCGAGGCGGGTTCTTGGAGCGGACAGTGTGTGCGCTGTGCCCATCCGAGCAGGCTACCCTGGCATAGACGTGCGAAGGCTGCCAGGGAACGTGCACACATGTAGGTGCTCGTTAAACGTTAACCCGGCTTTTCTTCCGTTTTGCAATTAAATCCCAGCTCAGCTTTCTACTCTGCAAGAAGCAGGCTACGAAGGCGAAGGCGCTTCTCCAGCTCGAGCGAGCCGTGACCCGCGAGCGCACAGGTGCGAGACGGAGCAGGTCTCGGCGTGCAGAGGTGCAGGTTGCCGAGCGTCCAGCCCCATGGCCCGCTTGGGGACAGGGGCTCTGGGCATGGGGCTTGGGGACGGGCTCTGCGCGCCACCAGACCCGAGAGTGCAGACAGCTCCCAGCCCTCACCCTTCGGCAGCCTTCACTTAGAGTGCTTTCCAAACTGAGATACTGATTTTTTTAAAGTAAAAACTTAATGTCATTTTTGAGGGTCGAGAGGATATCGTAGCTAAGATAATACAGTTAATGAAATGGTTTAACAAAATTTTATGACTTTTACTGAGCATTTACTTTGTTTATTAGCTTTACTTTTAATTTTTCAGAATTTTTTAAGGATAAATTGATGGAAAGAAGAATTATAGATTTTTAGGGTGTGTTTATAAGTAAAATAGCCACTCATGATATTTGCGAAACATAGATTTATTTTCCAAACAATAATGAACAGAGTATAATTCGTCTAGTTTCTCTTCTATACTGTTTTCAGATCAAGCATTTTTATTCTTAATTTTCTAAGATGGTGGTTTTGAGTTGATCCATAGATGTTCGTTGTACTTTAGACACAGTATTTCCAGAAGCATTCAGAGGGAGAGCTGCGTTTCTTATGTTTCCTCATTCTGGCCAGAATACGACTCAGTAAAATGTCGGGATCTTGTCCAGAGAAAGCCTGAAACAGAAACAATTCAAACAAGAAAACAGGTTATCGGTGAATCCAGAGTCCTGCGCGAAGACCTTTTCTCCGTTCTGTGGGATGAGGGTGTGACGGGAGGCTTGTCAAACGTGCACACCGTCACCTGCGGCCTCGTTAAGCTGCAGGTTTTGATTAGGTGCTGAGGGTGGAGTCTAGACTCAGCATTTGTCACGGGCTTACAGGGGACACCAGTGCTGCTGGTGCACAGACCACACGAGAAGTGGCGAGTGAGACAGCACGGTGGATGACAGACGCGAGCGGGGGCCTCATGCAGTTTCAATAATAATTGCTCCCAAACGGGTACTGGGTAAGTTGTTCTCATATGAATCAAAATTTGGAAAAATTAATACTCTGAAATAATACTGGCCAGTGATTTTAAGGTGTGATTTCTCCCAAGAACGCTTGTCTAGTTCATGAATTTAGGGTCCTCTAACGTCAGGACATTAACCTTTTTTAACCTAGTTCTCGTAAATTTAGTCACTTACCTTTCTCATACTTCCTCTTGTGTTAAAAACATTCATGCTGGGATCTGGAAAACAGCATTTTGAAACTTTTCATCATCAGAGCTATCGTTTCTATTTTATGCTTTTTAAAAACACACAGAATAGAATATTACTGAATCAAGTCTGGTTTCTGGCCTTCCTGTTTTCACACCGTAGGCAGCAAGGCAGGCGCCTCGTTCGTCCTCACCTGCGGGATTCACAGAGGCCCCTGCGTTTTCCTCCACGAGGCAGAATTCAGTAGTTTATCACTGATATTTTATAACATGAACTTTCTATTAAACGGTGTCTATGAAAGGCTCTGTTTTTTTCCCGAACGTCCTGAGCATTCATATCAGTGCCTAGAGGAAGTAACGGAGGAAATACAGGCATGCCCTGTTTTGTGGCACTTTGCTTTATTGCATTTCACAGATACGGTGTTTTTTACTAATTGAGAGTTTGTGGCGACCCTCATCGAGCAAGTCCGTGGGCACCATTTTTCCAACAGCATTTGCTCACTTCGTGTCTCTGTGTCACATTTTGGTGATTCTCACGGTATTTCAAACTTTTTCATTGTTACGGTGATCTGTGATCAGCGATCTTTGACGTGACCATTGTAATTGTTTTGGGGCTCCAGGAACCACTCCCATATGAGACGGCGAATGTAATTGATAAATGTGTGTTCCATCGACTGTTCCACCGACCAGCCGGTCCCTTGTCGCTTTCCCTCTTCTCGAACCTCCCTATTCCCTGAGGTACGACCATATCGAAATTAGTCCAATTACTAACCCTACAGTGGCCTCTAAGAGTTCAAGTGCAAGGAAAAGTCATATGTCTCCTACTTTAAATCAAAAGCTAGAAATGATTAAGCTTGGTTAGGAAGGCATTTTGAAAGATGAGATAGGCCGAAAGCTAGGCCTCTTGTGCCGGTTAGCCAAGTCGTGAGTGCAAAGGGAACGTTCCTGAAGGAAATTACAAGTGCTACTCCAGTGAACACACGAGTGATAAGAAGGTGAAACATCCTCGCTGCTGATGTACCAGGAGAAAGTTTTAGTGGTCTGGACAGAAGACCAAACCAGCCACACATTCCCTTAAGCCAAAGGCCAGAGCAAGGCCCTGACTCTACGGTCCCGTGAAGGCTGAGAGAGGTGAGGAAGCTGCAGAAGGAGAGTTGGAAGCGAGCAGAGGTCTCGGTTCATGAGGTCTAAGGGAGAAAGCCGTCTCCAAAACATAAAGTGCAAGGTGAAGCAGTAAGTGCTAGTATAGAAGCTACAGCAAGTTACCCAGAACAGAAGATTGAGCTACAATCGTTAATGAAGGTGGCTGCACTTAACGACAGATTTCAGTGTAGACACAGCAGCCTTATGATGGAGGAAGATGCCACCTAGGACTTTTCATAGCTGAGAGGAAAAGTCAACACCCGGCTCCAAAGCGTCAAAGGCCAGGCTGGCTCTTGTTAGGGGCCAACGTAGCTGGTGACTTTAAGCTAAAGCCAGCGCTCATTTCCATTCCGGAACCCCAGGCCCCTAAGAGCTATGCTCTGCTCTACTCAGGCTCCACACTGGGACAACAAAGCCTGCATGACAGCACATCTGTTTACAGCATGGTTTACTGAGTATGTTAAGCCCACGGTGAGACCTACTGCTCAGAAAAACAGATTCCTTTCAAAATATCACTGTTTATCGACAAGATGGCTGGTCACACAAGAGCTCTGACGAGATGGACACGAGATGAATGCTCTCACGCCTGCCAACACAGCACCCATTCTGCAGCCCACTGGTGAAGGAATAACTTGGACTTTCAAGTCTGAGTATATAAGAAATACACTTTGTAAGAAAGGCTGTAGCTGCCACAGATAATGATGGACCTGGGCAAAGCTGATGGAAAACTTTCTGGAAGGGATTCACCGTTCCAGATGCCTTTAAAAACATCTGTGATTCCTGGGATGAGGTCAGATACCAACATTAACAGGAGTTTGGAGGAAGTCGAGTCTAGTCCTCGTGGAGGACTGAGGGATTCGAGACCACAGTCGGGCATGGAACTGCGGATGTGGGGGAAACGGCACGAAAACTAGAAGCGGAAGCGGAGCCTGGAGAGGTGGCTGAGCTGCCGGCTCGGGGGGAGCTGTAGCAGGTGAGGAGCCGCTGCCGATGCACGAGCACAGCGGTTTCTTGGGACGGAATCTACGCCTGGCGAAGACGATGTGAATATTGTCGAAATGATGGCAAAAGATTTAGAATATGATATAAACTTAGCTGATAAATCAGCATCAGGGTTTGAGAGGATTGACTCCTACTTTCCAAAAATTCCTATTGTGGGTAAAAAGCTGTCAAACAGCACGTCATGCAGCAGAGAAATTATTCGTGAAAGGAAGAATCCACTGATGAGGTGCGTGTCTCGGTCATCTTATTTTTAAAAATTGCCACCGCCCCCCGAACCTTCAGCAACCACCACCCTGGCCAGACCCTCCGCCAGGAAAAAAGGTTATGACTCTGAAGCCTCAGGTGATGGTTAGCGATTTTTAGCAATAAAACATTTTTTTAGTTAAGGTATGTACATTGTTTTTCGACAATGCTATTGCACACTTAAGAAAATATGCATCATGTAAATGTAACTTTTACATGCACTGGGAAACCAAAAAAATTTATTGCATAACTTCCTTTATTGTGTTATTTGTTTTATTGAGGGGCTCTGGGACCAAATCCCCAGTATCTCCCAGTCTGCCCATTGTAAAGCTGCCATTTTATCAATCGCTTTGTGTGTGGCTGTGCTGACCACTTTTCTTGCGTTTTCTCTTTGACTCTTTACCATAAACCTATGAGGTGGGTGTTTTTCTCTTTCCCGTTTTCCAATTAAGAAACTGAGGTACAGAAAGATTAAGTGATTTGCTTAAGATTTTAGTAAGTGAGAAACCAGCATTTAAAATTGACCTTACTACAAACTGGGATAAAACCCTCCTTCCCCGCCCCACCCCCCAAAAAAAAGTCCATACAGAGAAAGGATGCTTGCAAGGAGTTGCTGAGAGGAAAAAAAAAAAAAAAAGATATTGCAGAGAGAGTCTTTATGCCAGGGAGGGAGAGTGGAGGGTAATTAATTCACTTCTCTGACAGCTCAGCTTTGTGTTCCCAAATCGGGCTTCACCTCCTCTGATCAATGAAAATACACATTTCAGTAGCAATCAAATCAGACAGCCTCTCACCACGAGGCCCCCATTACCTGCTTCGCTGAGACCATTGCCTCTCACTGCGCCCAGCAGCCCCGGCAGCCTCTGCAGAAGGGACACGCTCTCCAGTTCGCCCGAGGCTGACCTTGAATCCTCATCGGGGGCTGCATGGAGTGGTGGTAGATGTTAGTGACTGTTCGCCCTTCAATGAGTTACTTCTGTTCTCTGGCAGGTACCAAGGACAAGGAGATAATACTAGAAAAACTTCAGATGCCAGGTCTGTGACTGTGGTATTTTAGCAGAGAAGCGGAAATGCTCCAGTCCAGTTCTCAAGCCAGAAAATCAAGAGGAGGGGGTCAAACTCTGACTCCTTACTGCCTGCGCGACCTGCCACGCTCGGCTGCCGTGAGTGAGAGGGCGGAGCTGAGCCGGGGCCAGTGCTAGGTGTTTGCACGTAAAAGTGATTCTTCCTCATTTCTGTCTACTGCTGCCCATTGCCTTTTGGTTTTAGATATTTGGGTAATAAAATGGGAGAGGAAAAATAAAAGAGTGGTTTTCTAAAAGATAAGATTATGGTCTTCCTATGAAGCAAATGAGGTGGCATCACCTCTTTCTGGCCTTCAAGATTTAGATACAATTATTAGAAAAGAGTAATCTTTAGTCTTTAAAGAACCTGATGGTGACATTTCCAATGTGAAACGTCAGCTGAAGGCATGTAGAGCATATGGCACGTGTGTGCAAGGTGTGTAGAAAATGCAGGTAAGGCACGGGGAAGGTGCGCGTCTGCTGCAGGGAATATGTGTGGAGGGTGTGGGAAGGCACGTGTAAGACACAAAAGGTGCGTGGAAGATGCGGGAAGGTGTGTGTACGGTGCGCTACGCAGAGACTTGGTGCCGGGACCACCCTCGGCCAGGTACCGCGTGACACCAGCGTGCCTCAGGCTTAAAACACTTAGCTGCAGCCTTGATTGGCAGACGGTGACCGAACCATTATAAAGGCATCTGAGCACATTCACATGTTTCTGAAGAACGTCAATGATGTTTTGGCCACATGTAAGTATTTAGGTTGTGAAAGATCATGTCTGGGGACAAGCGAGAACAAAATCCGGGCCAAAACTCGAAGGAAAGCTGCCACCTGTTTAGAATTCGAGTGAGACGCTACTCAATTCATCTTAAGTTTTTAAAAATCATAATGATATGCAAATTTTTGAAGACAGTAATATCTGAATATTTATTCTTGATTTGATCTTGTGCTTTTCTCTGGTCTTTTTTAAATAGCAGAGATTCGATAAAGTTAATGCCTATTTTTAACCATCAAGTGACTGCCATTTATGAGTTCAATGGCCCTAGAAGTTGCCTGGCAGTGCACGAGTGACTCAGGGCTTGACAGTTATCAGAAAACTGCTGGGAGAGTAACACATAAAGTCAGTGGCTTAGGAGAGTTTTTTTCTCTATTTAAAGAACAATGCCTAAAAGCACCCCAAGTTAAAGGCAGGATAAAACCCAGTTAAAATGTTTGGGGAACCTACTACCTAAGCACCAACCTTTTTCTATTTCTTAACTGAGAGGTAATAGCAAAATAAGTATCTGCTTGACTGATGCATTCTTTTTAAATTCAACTTAGACTTGACTTGAATGAAACAAGAGGAAAAGAGAAATGAACTTGGAAACCTGTGATGTCCCCAGCTCCACCTGGTCACTTTTTTATTTTTTCGTAAACATTTTTTGTCTCATACATGTCAGATGATTACTTTTTAACTTAAAAGAATAGAGGACAAAATTAAAATATTTTTACCCTACAATCCAAACAACCAAATTCTACATTCGATCGGTTCATTTAAAATAAAAACTGAAAGTAACGAAGTCTTAAACTTAGTGCAAATTTAAAATTGGAGGTGAAAAAAGGGCTGACCAAAACCAACAGTTTGAATAATAGACGTGACAGGAAATAAACAATGCTACCACCCTTTACCCCCAGCGATTTAAAAGGAAAAAACTGTCCAGTACTGAATCTGAGGTGTGCTATGGAGTCCTCGAGTATTCTCATAGCTGAGACCATTCATTGAAGCCTCCTTTAAGCAAGAATTCCCATTCTTGTTTCTAACATTGCATTTTAGACTCTTGCTTGAAGACTCTCTCAAGAATAACAGGGAAGAAAATTCTTACCTGAGAGCTGCAAGGGCTGCTCCCTGGAGTCAAGGACAGGGAGAGAGAAGAGAGGGCTCAAACATCCTATGAGAAGCAGGCAGCAGGAAGCCAGCTTGTACATGACTGGCAAGAGACAGAAGTCCTCCTCCTCGGCTTCTCTTGTCCAGAACTTGCAATTTGCTCTTTCTCATTCTGTGATCAGCGACTATATATATTATCCTATGATCTCATACCACCCCCTCTAAAATAAAAAAAAAAATCAAATGTATTGGCTATAGAGGCTAAAAGGCAATCACTTTGCATTGATGTAATTTTTCAAGGTAACGACTCATAGACAATAAATTTACTGTCTCGTTGCCTCGTGTACAAAGTAGGTATTATATAATGAACAGCTAAGTTTATAAATCTGGCAAAAGAAGTGACTTGGAGCAATAAATCATGAGTTAAAGAAAGGGTCGGACATGAAGTGGCCAAGGCGGAGACGTGGATTTATGAGCCCTAGCAGAAGTGACCCAGAGCGTGACACTAAACATGTCGGTCTCTCTTTTAATCTTCCATGAGTGAATAGAAGAATCATTATGTTGTGTTCGGGGCTGCCATGCTCAAAGAACGATGGTGTGCGAATTAAAACTTAAAAACGTTTATTTCAAAATGGTGAAAGTGCATTAAAACGCACAGCAACCCTTCAGGCTCAAGGCGAGTTCCATACATACACTTGGCCTCATGAAAAACGACACGTTCCTGAGTCTTCAGAAAAGGAAAATGACTTTCCTGAAAGTTGGGTGTTATTCATCAAGGAGAAATGAACAGCAAGCCTGAAAGCCTTAGCAATGAGTATTTCCGGAATTTCGCTCCCAGTGTGCCCGGCCGGGTGCGGGCCTGGCTGTGGCCGTAGCCTCCTCCCGAATGTCCTCCAGGCTGCCTTCTGCATCGCCAGCCTCATGTCAACACAGCACCCGGATGCTCAGCGCAGAAGGCAGATCGTATCAGTTCTTCGCTCCGAACCCTGAGTTGACCTGAACATAAAAATTAAAACTACAGAATTACTATTAAAAAAAAAGACCAGCCACTACTCTGAGAAATATTCATAAAACATATGCCTGATGAAAAACTTCTCCAGAATTAAAAAAAAAAAAAAAAAATTCAATAAGCCAATGACCCAATTAAAAAAAATAAGCAAGAACTTTGACCAGGTGCTTCACAAAAGAAGGCATGCGAGGAGCTGGTAAGGACATGAAAAAATGCTCCACGTCATTTAGAGAAATGCAAAGTAAGATCACAGCGAGCTGCTACTGCGCCCGCCATGCCAGGCTTCAAAGAACACCGACGATGCCACGTGCGGACGGAGGTGCCAGGCGCCCGGACCCGAGAGTGGGCAGGAACGTTGCACCGTCTAACTTCCCTGGAAAAGTTTGAAGCCTTCTCATAAAGATAAGCGCACTAAACTGCGCAGCCCAGAATCCGTCTTGTAGGTATATACCCATGAAATGCAAACATACATTCAACAAACACTTGTTCACAAATGTTCATAACAAGCCTCTGGGAAGGGGGCCCAAATGAAGGAGGGTCCCATGGAGGATCGAGAGAGGGTGGCCGAGGGACAGCAGGCCCGTGAGTCTCACAGGCTGGGCACTTGTCCAGCACGTGCCCTGGGGTGGGCAGCACAGCGTCGTGGTCCCTGGACAGGGCTGTGTCAGGGCAGCTACTTATGAGGGAGAGGCCTGCGGCCCCAGCAGACATCCCAAATGGAGTACACAACAGCAAGAGCCGAAATATGCTTGTACCCAGTAAGCCTGCTTTCAGAAATGTCCCCTGGGGAAATAATACAAAGCATCTCTTGGAGGCACCAACATCTGCAGCCTTATCTACAGTGGCAAAGACATCATCAGAGGCTGGCAACTCAAACACAAAGAGGAATCAAGAGGTGATCGTGAAAATGAGAGGCAGGCTTGGCGGGTGACAGTGGTGGGGCTGCAGCAAAGTGGAGAGCGCACGAGGTCTCTGTGGGAAGACTGCAGCTCCTCGTCGCCAAGCGAGGATGTTAGAAATCTGAACTTTAAGGGTCGCCCATGATTTCACAACTAATTCAAAGTAAAAAAAAGCAACAACTACAACACAGTACTGTGTATATCAAACAAGACACATCCACAAACCACGATTCAACCTACGGGCACCCCATTTTGGCTTAAATCAGTGTGTAAGTTGGTAGATTATAGAGCTTATCAGCATGTAATTTTAGTAATCACGAAAATGCTAACTAAAAGAAGGTGGCTATGTGAACAAGAACTGGTATGTAATACCACAAATCCAGAATGTGTTAGGGTAAAGGGATTTTTTCCCTTGTCTTAAAATGCTATTTTGCGTATATATATATACAGACTTCTGTCCTCTGGAAGAGGCTGTCTGCCAAGCTTTGTCATTCGCTGGTGACTCAGGGGTACTTCTGACAGTTATTAGTGATGATTTTACAGCATGGCCTAATTAAGTTACTACTAAAGGCTTAAGCTTTAGAAAGAAAATTAGTTTCCTTCCTTCAACAGACTGTCAATGACAATGTCACCTTGTCCCAGAAATGTACCGAGTGTGTCGTCAGCCGACCCTCACGGTCCTTGTGTTAAATGGCTTTGCGTTTACATCAGAGCGACCACCTTCCCCAGGAGCTGGGACCTCTTTAATCAGCTGCACGTTACCTTTAAACCGGTAGGTACTTTCCGTGCCTGTGATGGGGAAGCAAACAGTTAACAGGACGAACCGGGTGACTCGTGCTCGTGGAGCACCAGCGTCCATTGGATGAGTGTCTAAGTCACAACCTCCTCTTAGTCTGTTTTGACATTGATCTAAGTTCACCCTCTCTGCTGCCATCCTTACCCTTTTATCATGTGGACGTAACTTTTACATTTACTGTTCGTACTGGCCGTCCTGGGTTGTAAGGCTCCAAGAGGAGGAATTGATAGAAAGCGACTCTGCCACGAGCTTAAAGTCTGTCCGGTACTTTCTTAGTGATGAAAAATCTCCCAGTTCGGAATGATCTATCAGGAACGCGCAACCCCGCGACCGTTGCGATGCTTATGCCATTTTTTGAGGCAGACCTGGGTCCACGGAAGTTCAGAATTTGGCGCAGTTCACATTCAGTCGACAATGAGGCTGTTATGGGGTCCACTTTTATTTCTGTGAATGTAAAAATTATAACTTATGGGGCTCTCAGATACACGGTTAACTTACGTTAATTAAAATTTTAATTTACCCTAATCTATATTATAGGTTTAGTTTATATTAATTTATATATCATAACCATTTTGTGTAAATGGCTCCCTTGTCAATAGCACTCCATCAATAAACCCTGTCTGAGCAACACCCAGGAGGTCAGCATGGCTCAAGCGGAGTGACCAGGGGGGAGGGCCGTGGGGGTTGAGGACAGAAAGATGGTAGAGGGACAGATCTAGGTCATGTTTTAATTTTAATTTTTTAATTTTTTTCAGTTATAGTTGACATACATTATATTAGTTTCAGGTGTACGACGCAGTGGTTAGACATTTATATAACTTAAGAAGTGATCTCCCCAATAAATCCAGTAGCCAGCTGACACCATACATAGTTATTACAATACTACTGACTATATTCCCCATGCTGTACTCTACATCCCCGTGACGATTTTGTAACTACCAATTTGTACCTCTTAATCCCCTCCCCCTTCACCCACGCCCCAACCTGACAGCCATCAAAATGCCATCAAAATGAGCTTGTTTCTGTTGTTTGTTTATCTTGTCCTCTAGACTCCACATATGGCATTTGTCTTTCTCCGTCTGATTCCACTCGGCACAACACCCTCTAGGTCCATCCATGTCGTTGCCGATGACGTGATTTCATTCTTTTTTATGGCTGAGTAATATTCCATTGTGTGTGTGTGTGTGTAATCCGTTCACCCATTGATGGACACCCAGGATGCCTCCATTTCTTGGCTACTGTAAATAACGCTGCAGTGAACATATGGATGCACATGTCCCTTTGAAGTAGTGTTTGGTTGCTTCAGATAAATACCTGGAAATGGGATTGCTGGGTTCTTCTTTGTCTCTTGCTATAGCCTTTGTTGAAAAGTCTGTTTTGTCTGATGTAAGTGTTGCCACCCCAGCTTTTTTGTTTGTTTCCATTTCATGAGCCATCTTTTTTCAGCCCTTAACTTTCAGTCTGTGTGTGTCTTTCAATCTGAAGTGAGTCTTTCGTAGGCAGCATATGTAAGGGTCTTGTTTTCTTATCCATTCAGCCACCCTGTCTTTTGATCGGAGCATTTAAGCCATTTACATTTAAAGTAACTGTTACTAGATATATAGTTATTGCCATTTTATTATTCATATTTTCTTTTTTTTCTTTTTTCTTCTTCTTCTTAAAAAAGTCCCTCTGACATTTCCTATAATATTGGCTCGGTGGTCATGAACTCCTTTAGCTTTTTCTTGTCTGGAAAGCTCTTTTTCTGTCCTTCAGTTCTAAATGATAGATTTGCTGGGTAGGTTCATCTTGGCTAGGCCCTCACTTTTCATCACTTTGAATATTTCTTGCCAATCCCTTCTGGCCTGCAAATTTCTGTTGAGAAATCAGCTGACAGTCTTATGGGAGCTCCGTTACAAGTAACTAACTGCTTTTCTCCTGCTGTTTTTAAGATCCTCTCTTTGACTTTAACCTTTAGAATTTCAATTCTGATGTGTCTTGTTGTGGGCCTCTTTGGGTTCATCTTGCTTGAGACTCTCTGCTTCCTGGGCTTGTATGTCTATTTCCTTCACTAGATTTAGGGAAGTTTTCAGTCAATGTTTCTTGAAATAGGTTTTCAATTTCTTGCTCGCTCTCTTCTCCTTCTGGTGTCCCTATGACGCAAATGTTGGTGTGTTTGATGTTGTCCCAGAGGCCCCTTAAAACATCCTCATGTTTTTGGGATTCTCTTGCTGCCACTCTGTTGGGTGTTTTCTGCTGCCTTATCTTCTAAATCACTGATTCGATCCTCCACTTCATCTAATCGACTGGTAATTCCTCCTGAGGGATTCTTCATTTCTGATTGGTTCTTATTTATGTTTTCTATCTCCACTTTTATGTTTTCTGTCTCTTTGTTAAGGTTCTCACTGAGTTCTTCTCCTCCTCCCCTAAGTTCATTGAGCATCCTTATCACCGTGTTTTGAACCCTGCATCTGGCAGATGGCTCGTCTCCATGTGTCTAGTGCTTTTTCTGGAGCTTTGCTCTGTTCTTCCATTTGAGACATGTTTCTTTGTCTTCCTGTTTTAGCTGCCTACTACTGTTCGTTTCCATGTATTAGGTAGGGCTCCTAAGTCTCCCAGTCTTAGGAGAGTGGCCTTATGTAGTAGGTATGCTGTAGGTACCAGTTGCAAGTCTCCCCTGGTCACTTGAGCCACTCCAGCTGTGTCCTTTGTATGGATATG